TATATAAACCTAGCAAGATTTAGATTTGTGTACTGTGTGACTACACATTTACTTTTCCTAGAGCTGACACAGTTCCACCATAACCACTATTTACACTGAACATATTATATATATACACGGCATATAGTGTAGATTATGTAACTCTGCTTTCATGATCCCACACAGTTTACAAATAGATTACTGTATAATGCTCTTCCAAATATATATTTATAATATATAACCATGAACACTAGAAGATTTCTGACAGGACACAGGGGGTAACGTGGAGGGTACCACATGCAATACGGAGCCTTTTAAACAAAGGGAAACCAGAACAGAGTAGGGCTTTGATAAGCAAGTAACAGGGTTGCTAGGAGAAGAAGGGGGAGGAGGGGGGGTTTACCAAGGCCGTCACATCTCTAATCTCAACGCCGTGCCCGGGTTACACGCGTAGCCTTCGTTTCAAATATGGCCACGTCGTTTCCTGAACACCTTTTCTCACCCTTTCGCTGCGCGTTACCAACAATCAGAGGCACACTCGTTTTCCTGCGTGATTCCCCAACCACGTTCCGCCCTTACGTGCGGTGTCTCAGATACGTTATGTAGCCAAAACTGACAAAAGGACCCCGGTTGTTGTTGCTGTTGTTTTTACATGGGGCTTCAATTGAGCTCAAGTTTGGAAGAGTTCGACTCCTGGCGCAGACAGCGGGTCCCTTCCCCCCGTTCTCTCTTCGTCCAGACCAGCTCAGCGAGCCTGAAAAGGGTTGCTTTACAGGTTCTTTTTTTTAATGACCTTTTTTTTTTTAATCAGGAAAAACTGGCGAAACGTGTGCCGCTGTGCTGTCGAGGCCCGACCCTCCCGGAATCCCAACACGCTTCGATCGGTCCACTCGCGTCTCCCCTGCTTTTGTTTTCCCGTTTCCATTTTTAAATCACCGTGGGTAGTGCCTATCTGACATCGTTCCCCCCACCCCGCTTCGTATTTTAGGGCGACGTGAAGGCTGAAATGTAAAAGAACAGGGGAGGAAGGCATCGCTTTCGGTGACAGGAAACTGAACAAAACAAGGTCTAGAAGAAAACTATACCTCAGCTGCAGCGAGGGGTTTTAAGCAACAAGCCGGGAGTTTGCAGTCTTTTCGTCGCTCCGTGAATTACCGGAACCAACCGCGATCACAACCTCCCCGGTCTGAAAATGGAGATATCTAAAAACACATTTTGTGTTGTGTTTGGGGAGGGGGTTATGGGGGTTAAAGCATACGTCGCTAGTTTTTAAACTTCAGCTTTTACTCCCGCACGATTACCGTTGTTAAAACGACGATGCGAAACGAGTACGGCGAGGATGACTCGTCAAAGCAAGCAACAACAACAACAACAACAACACGATTCTTCAAAGTGCTCGTTTGGAAACAAAGGGAGGGGGGGGGGAACTGCAGTAAAGTGCATTTGCAATCGCGATCTCCGGACTTTACCGTTTAATCTAACAGTGAACTGCCTCCTCTTTCTGTCGTGCTCCACTTTGATCGGGCAGTTGAGTTGTTCGAGGACGTTAATCTGCGCTGCCTGGGCCATCTCTATTATTTCTGTTAGTATTTTCTCCCGAGATCATGCAAATAGGTAATCAGTGGGCTACGAAGTAGGGCGAACTACGACGGAGAGGATTCATGATCCCGTAAACTGACAGAGAAGTGAAGAGAACACATTCTCCAGCCCCAGGAAATCAGCTGGAGGGACACGTGGGGCGCTGTGGCCAATCAGCACCCGCAGCAACTGTTTTGATCCGCTGCGCTGCTGCTGCGTTAAAGGAGCAAAGCTCTCCCAGGCTCTGCCGGCGCAAGGAAGGCCAAGGGCCCCAAATGTCGTGCCCCCCGGCTCCAGTGCAAGCCCTGGAGATTATAGTGTGAACACAGCGCGACAGCTGTAGGCACGGCTCTTGGCATGACCGGAGCCGCTGATGTGCAGGCAAGCGTGTCGCCTGCAGCTTTGCATGACTTGAGAGCTGCAATTAATTTTTGTATAACTGCGTGTAGACCACTGTCCAGTCACACACACACACACACCCCCTGAGACGATGTGCTCAAGCTCTCAGTAGCCCAGGAAAAGTAAAAAAAAAAAGGCAGATCCATGGCAGAAGTTCCTAGGCCTTAAACCCTGAAGCGACTGTTACTGAAATACATGACTCCCATGCGCGTACGGACACAATCAGCATGGAAAAACCAAAGGGACGCCTGTCTGGAACCGAGAGGTGTTGCCTACTCTTACACTCAGGAAGACATCAGCGAACACAAAGACACAAGCATCCATTGTCAAATCTTTAGAGAGCGGCCAATTAAGGATGAAATGTCACTTCGGTGCTAGGAAAACAGCTAAAGTACTCAGGGCACATACATGCCCATAGGAAGACTGTTGGTGTTGAGAACGCGTTGCTTACTCCAAAGATTGATTCCTGCACAAAAATCGTAAATTGGTCATTAGCCTACCTAGTCTTTTACCTATGGATACAAAGTTTCAGTTTTTCCTGGGGGCCCCCTGTTAAAAAAGTGAGTGTGCCATATTGCGAAATGCCATTCACAAAATTAGCTGGCAGCTGCGGTAACACTTTTTTTTTTTTACCATATGTGCACAAGCAGCCAGCCTGAGGGAAGCTGTTAGCATTTGCTGTCCGGCTCTGGGAAGAATTGAAACTCTCCAGCTGTGAACTTCCGATCCCCAGTTTCTATATGTTAGCTACAAACCTCCATATCGTGGCCCACGGCTTTTGCACAAATCATTGAAGTTCTCATTCAACAAATACTACGATGTCTAAGCTCAGATAGTTGCATGCACGTGATACTTTTAAGATTTGTGTTTAGCAGGATGCTATTCTTTTATAAGAAACGAGAAATTATAGTTTTATAGTGATCTTACCACTAAGAAATCACAATGGTCTAGAACGTTAAGACCTATGTGACTGATTATGTTATTGATCAATTAATAAGAAACTATGAGTCACTGCAGCACCTCCTGATTGTTCCTTTGCATAAGAAGGCAAAGACTTTGGAAGAATTTGAAAAAATGCGAAGAATGCTAATTGAGCTTAAATGAGTTCCCTTCACTGACCTCCTCTCTCTCTCTGGGCTTTGCAGATAATACCGAATGATCCAACGGCATCGCTCGCAGTGAAGGTGAAGGATTACCGAGTCTACCTGTGGTTTGACCTCAATCTTCTGCTCCCTCCACGGACACCCTGTGAAGTCTCTCGTGGCAAAACGAATCAGTTTCAAAGGAAGATGAGCAGTCTCGCAGACGGAGAGTGACAGGAGCACCGCACTCTGTCACAGGCAAGCCGAATGTCATTTCTCAGGCTGACACTGCGTGAGGTGTGTCGAGTCAAAGGGCCTTTCTGACCACTTCAAGCTGCAGTATCGCGGCCCTTTTGAAAGATGCTGAATTATAATTAACACATTAGGATAAGCTTTCTTTAGGATCAAGGAAAATTCAAAGCTTTCTCTATAATAATAATAGGTTCTGACTTCACACCTTTCTTCACCTCTCTCCCCTTCACACTTCCTGAGTTGCCTCTCTGCTCCTCCTGTGTCCTCCCCTCTCCCAGCTTTTGTTCTTCTGTGCTATTTCATCTTTGCTGTCTGCCCTGTCTTTCTCGCACCTGAAGAAGATTTCACAGCCGAAACGTTGTTTTCTCTCTTCTCTTTTCAGCATGTAATAAACCTTTCACTTGTTCCAATGCAGTCTACGCATGCTGACGCAGCTCCCCACTTGTATTATTATTATTATTATTATTATTTGGCATGTAGAAGGTGAATACATGATGCCAGATGTTTTGGCAGCACAAAGATTTTGGCACTGGTGTCGGTTGCCATTCCGTGAATTTGCAGCAGGTTACTTTCCTTGTATCTGATAGGTTGGAAACATCCTGCTAGCTGAGTCCGTGTGTTGTGTCTGTATTGCAAATGAATAGCTGACTTGGTTGGTTTAAAAGACGAGACGATTCCCAGCTTTCTTGATCAAGTGTGCACTGCCGTAGTGGAGCGGTAGAGGAGAAAGTGGGACCTGGATAGAAACATTCTTGAAAAAAATGGTTGATAAAAAACGAAAAACATTGTCTCTATGTGAACAGTAGATTACATGTATTAAACAATAATCCTATAAGTGAACAAAACAGTTTGATCCCGAAGAAGGGTCCACGGCCGAAACGTGTTCTCTTTCTTCTTTTTTTCCAGCATGGAATAAACCTATTACTTGTTCCAAAACAGTATGATGCCCTAAATAATATTTAAACTTCCTGTGAAAATTAGATTATTGTTTAGGATTAGCACAGGGCATTTAGAAATGTAGAAGAAAAGATAAGAACAACTTTTCTCTCCAGCTGCAGATGAAATACCATGTTTTTTATTCCATGGTGTTCTCCACTAGAGGGCTCAATACCCTGTAACAAACCCAGACAACAAGTTCAGACATGCACTCAAGGTTTAGAGGGTTGTAGGCTCAAATTGAAGAGAGCCATGTGATCACTTCTACAGCACTGTTTACTTTTAGTCATTCAAGCTGCATGTCCAGAAAGTGAAGCCTGACCCTTGTTCAATCTAGGACTGCTGTCCAATGAAGTCTCTTTCTTCGTGGAAAGAATTGCAAGTACTTATTCATTTAGCATCTCATGATGCTGGAGAGGCGATTGATTCATGCCTTAAAATAGGCACTTTGAAATGTTTTCAAAGCATAATTAGCTTCTTTTACCGGATGCAAGAAGGGACTGCTTTGACAACCTTTTTTTAAAACAAAACTCTCATGATTTAGAAAACCACATCTAGTTTTTAATCCATCCATTCCTTTTCTAACCTCTTTAACTGATATGGGTCACAGGGGGGCCTGAGTCTATTCCTGGCCAGCATTATTTTTTAATATTAAAAGAAATATTAGGTGTAGAGATTTAAAGCACGTGTTTGAGACCTGAATGTAAAACGGTGTAAGAACAGGCTTGTCGCACCAAAGTAATCATAACGATGGCGACACATACTGTACATCGCTGCACAAATCTTTGACACTGAAGACTTGATCAGGAGTTACACTCTAGGAGCATCAATAACTTGCTCAAAGCCTCCATTACTGCTATTCCAACAACTTTGACTTTTATTTATGCGGCTTAGTTAAAGGGAGAGGAAGCCACGCTTTTCGTTTAGAAATCTTTTATTCACATTAAACAGGATCTTAAAAAATAAACAGCCAAAAAACAGGTGTTGTAGTACCTAATCCATTGCAATCACCAAACAGATCTGAGTGACTCATTGTCAGGTGCTTCTCTTGAACAACAATAATAAGCAAGTATTCTGTGACCCTGCAACTTACGTCACTTATTAATGCACGTGTAGAAAGAAGTTTGGAAAGTGTTTTTTGTGTAAATGCTGTACGACGCTGCAACATAATGACAGAATCCGCCTCACAGTCTGCGCAGTTGTGTAGTGAAACATGCATTGTACCAGCTCTAACGTCATGCCGTCAAAGAATAGCTGCTACGCGAGACTGGAAACTGTTTTTCTTTTTGATAGCACACGACCAAAAAAACAAGGTGCGTTATTTTTTTTTGCTTCACACCGCGCGTAATTCCGCAAGTACCCGTAACGCTGTCGGTGGAAACGAACGTCACGCAAGTACACATACTTCCATCCGGCGTGGCAGTTTTTGGAAAACACCCCACGAACTTGCCACTTCCTAAATCTCAGAGCACCAGCTCGCCAGCAGGAGGATGCTACACCCTTTCAGAGCAGCAATTCTCTTTCTCGGGACTCAAACTTGATAGAACGAGGGCCGGCCCGCTCGCCTCCCATTGGCCCGCAGCGCCGCCTGCCGCCTTCCGATTGGTCGAGCGCGCTAGTACGGTCTTGGATGACGTCATTGATTAAAACCTCCAGTCACCGAGAGAACGAACGGAGTCCTGTACCTTGTGGCTTTTGGGGGGGGTTATTAATGAATTATTTGTATTGTTGCTTTCACTTTTTCATTAATAATTTGGGGGAGCTTCTCATGAATGCCTCTACGCTGCTACGGCCTATGGTGTAGAAACCGCCGCTGGTGTACGGTGTGCTCTGGCACTGTACCGGTAACATAATTCTGGCATTGTTTCTTTGATTGAGCAACGACGATTTCTGCAACAGCGCACAGCGGACAAAAGTTGAGAGATCCGTCCCTCCTTGCGCGGTTCGGTTCGGCGATTTCCCTGCAGATCGAGCCTGCGTGCTCCTTGCAAGCCCGGCAGGATTGTCGTTGCATTGAGTCTCGGAAAACGGATACTGTTTCTGTGCGTGTATTGTCCACCCCCCCCAGCTCTTCAACAGGCGTTTCTGTACAGTGCACAACAAAATCAAAGGCTTGCACCTCGGAATTGGGAACCCACAACATGTCAATGTCCAGAAACACCGGTAAGTGAAGATCGCCTTAAATTGCTTATGGCGCTGTTTTGCTAATTACTGGACAGAACAAAAAAAAAAGCAGTAAAGGTCCAGGTGTATCTGTTTCATTCAATAAAACAGATTATTGCAGCCCGCACATGTAGTTTAATTGCTTGTGGGCTTCAACCCAGGGTCGTGTTTGCCCCCTCTCTCTAATTCCCTAAGTATCGCCCGTCACGAATTCCCCGTCTAATTTCAGCCTTTTATTTCCAGAAACTACGCCGCTGGGATACAAGCAGAACAAATAATTCCTGTTTTATCTGCTTATGCGGAAACTTAAGCCGCTCGCTGGCTCAGTGGCGCGGCACGGAAAAGCATTATATATATATTAGCCAAGAATGCACGATTTAAACCGGGTCCCAGTTTGTTGTTGCCCAAGCAACGATTGAAAGAAAAAAAGCAGCAGCAAAGTTTTCTGGTGCATTTGGCCCGAGCCAGCTGAAGAGGGACCGGGCTTGTTCCTAACGATATTGAGGACACCGGCGTGCAGTTTGAGCTGCGACCTCTTGGGTGGTGGTGCAAGACCCGGAACAGCGTGCGCAGCTGTGTGGGTGTCGGGGGGGAATGGCGGGTCGGTTCGGGAGGTGGTCGAGGGCTTGGCCAGGAGCAGCTGGGCATTAGTTTAGGAAGTTAGAAAAGTAGGTTATCGCCGGGAGAGGGTGACGAACTGTTCACGTGACCGTGCGAACTCCGTGCATCTCAAAAAAAAAAATACGAGACCAACGATTTTGTTTTTCTAGATAGCAGCAATATTCTGCAACGACTACAGCAATCACAGTTTTGCGGGGCAGCGTGGGGGGTTCCGTCTGATTTCCTGTGTTCAAAACGTTAGAGACGTGATTAAAGGCATTGCGACTCATTATCAAAGGCAGTGAAAAACGGCGAGCACAGCACGGAGAAAAAAAAACCCGAGCCTGGTATCCGAGTCGCCTTAGAGCAGACTTCCTCCGTACCTCAAACCCAAGGGCACAGGGAAAGATAATTCCTACAAAGTATCCATGCCACTTTGCAAATCTGGGAAAGCCCACGCGAACGTGCGTTAAAACAGGTTGCCAAGGCGTGTTTGTTTTCATTGGGGCAAAAAAAAGGGGCTTTTCCTCCGTGTGCGCTGTGCTAGCGCCAAAACAACCTGCAATGAGTAAAAGTACGGGAATCTACACCAAGCACATGTTTATTTTGGGTGAAAGATTGAAACGGGTGTATTTTAAGACTTGGGCTTTCATTCTTACCTCTTGAATGGGACAGTATAACTTGCAGAATTCTGCACGCATAGCTTTAACGTCGGTAAATGGTATTTAGTCGCCTTTTTGTCGTAGTTGTCAGCACCTCTCGGGCTGTATTTCATACAGCGTCTTGTCTTCCAACTCCTTAATTCCCCATTTGTCGTCTGTACCGTGCTCAGGTTGTGATTCATCTAGTGTTTTCTGAATGGCGTGGCTGACTCACTCTTGCTGCGCGTTTATATGCTGTGACTGAGAGAGGTGCTGGTGTGTAGGAGGCATGCGGTGCCATTTTTTTTAAAGGGACGAGACAAGTCAAGCAATCCTGCAGGTTTATTCCTATATGACATGACTTTCCTCTGCCCGAACTGCAAGGAAACATGTTCCACACAGCTCTCCCCAATTTTGCAACTTTACCCGTCCAGTGGAATTTGAACCATGATTACGATTAATGTGTCAACTGGATTGGATTCATGTATCAGTACCCCGATCCAAGTATCCAAAATCCTCAAAGGCCTCAACAAAGTCAGCCAATTGGATTTCTGCAGAATGAGCAGTAAAACACAAACCAGATGACCAGGAGTGCGGAAAGTGCATTTCAAATCGTCAGGTGTTTCATGAAGCAAGCCGTGGTATCTGCTTCAAACACATGGCTGGTCAGCTTGTTCCACACCCCCCCAACTCTTTGGGTAAAGAAAGTGTTCTGGGTTTTAAATCACTTCCATGAAGTTTCGACTTATGTGCCCTGGTTCGTGTTTCACTGTTTATGCTGAAGAAGTCTAAAGGGTTGACTTTGTCAGTCTTAAAGCTGTGTTGGCTTTTTGGTTACTTTCATTCAGTCTCGGTATTAAATATTTTTCCTTTGCACTGAAAAGCAAATTCAAATAATTAACTAAGTTACTTGAAGGAGGCTACAAAAGCTCTTATTTTAGTGACTTAAGGCTCCAACATAGTTTAGGCATACTCTGTGGGTATAGCAGAATTCACAAGCCTGGATGATAGCAGTTGATATTAAGTTGATGCATGATTGCATAATAAACTCATTGTGGAGTCCATTGATCAATAAGTGTTCCAGTCTCCTTAAGGAGTAAGTCTGAACCTGCAAACATCATTATCAGCTCTTGTAGAAAATTAGTATTGACTTACAACAGCTGCCTGGTGGCAGTTTAGATGTTGGGCCTGAAGAGATACTTCATATCAATTGCTTTTCTGTTGTATGGCATTTTCAATGGCACATTATATTATTGGTTCCTGCTTATACAGTAAGGTCTGATAATGAGCTACTTCATCTTGATAAATTGCATCTCAAGGAAGTGCAATGGGGAATGAAATTAGTGTCGCGCATAGCCTCTCAAGCAATTGGCAAAGCACATCTGCCCTTGGGGCTGTGTAACGTTGTTATATGCGCCTATTACACTTTCAACACTTCTCACTTAGAAACCTTTTATTAGACAAGTAAGCCAGCATTGCAGCAGCTGGTCTGCTGGCATAAAACGACATTGTGAGGGGATCGAAAAAACGTCATATTCAGAAGACTGGAAACCGCTGCTTTAATTAAGGGTAGATCACAGGTGCTAGTGTTTTAGGAGAGAGGATGAAACCGAACAAAGGCTCCAGCCGGACTGACCTGGTTTCTGCCAGCTCCTCGTGCCGGCCTAATTAAATGCCCTCCCATGGCCTGTCAAATTGAGTCATTCCAGCTTTCAACATGAGTCTGAAGCAGAAATGTCTGTAATGTGATTATAGTGCCACTTCTTAAAACTCATTAGCAATTGTTATGGTCGTTAGGGGGGAGGGGGGTTGTGGGGAATAGTGTCTGTGCACAGTTTCTTAGTTGCATATGAATGTAGAGAGTTTGACGATGTTTGCTTTCCAACCTGAAGCTGGTCTCTTCCGGGATCGTTATCTCAAGAGGCTTCAGCTGTGTAGGGAAGAGCCAAGCATCAGAAAGCAAAGTTTAGTCCCCTATAGCCACTAGCATGTATTGGTCACTGACTGGCGGTGCAAAACACATGAGAGTTCTTTTCCACTTGCAGGCTCTTTATTTCTGTACAATCTATACGATACAAATAGGAAAAGGACATTTAAAAAATGTATTTTGTATTTTTTTTTTTTAGAATTTTGACACATGGCTGGCAGAGACTGACGATGGCCTAGCTAGCTCAGTGATTTCCATGACAACTTATTTTTTTTTTAAGGCGGCCAAAATCATCCAGTACACAGGTAATACATGATGAGGACCATCAAGTAGATTTAGTAATAATTCACAATTGCTGGAGAGTTACTTCCTGGACCCGCAGGCTGATGAATCAGTGGCGCTCCAAGTCAGAGGTCTGAAAAGCTCCAGATTGCATTTCTCTGACATTCTTGACATGCTGCCTCCATGTTCCTGCAATGTGGGACCCCTGCAGCCAGAAAACAGACCAGAGTTGGTCAGGGGGAATGGCTGTTTTATGAATAGGTGAGCTAGGGGGTTTTACGACCATTTTGTGAGAGGAGGCAAAGTGTCTTCTCTCCTCCGCGCAGAGCAACAGATGGTTCCTGTAGTACAAGAGAGCGACAGAGAGATGTCCTGGTTGTAAAAGTTCATTAATGCATGCAGGAGTCAGAGAGTCAGGTCAGGCAGCAAAAAAAAAAGGCCGCGACTTGCTTTTGTGGCTTTCATTGTCCCCTATTCAAATGGCACAGGGGCACAAAAGCCCCAGAACCAGAAGGTCAGTCCTTTGGCCCAGTTTTTGTGAACAGCCCACGCCACAGCTGCGCAGCCAGCGCTGCCTGGACGATCCGAGCTGTGCGATTGGTCCGGCGCTGTTGCTGAAAGGCGAAAAAAAAGTAGTAAACCCCCCCAGAACCCCCGTAAATCAGGGTCTCCTAACCAGCGCACCACACAGTACAATGAAGTGCTGTCCGGCCGACGGGGGTGTTGCGCAGACATTTGAGAAGGAGTCACGTGCCCACCAAAAAGGAATCTGAAACTTCTTTTGATGCCTCAGTTAGTCTTGGTCCCAAACCGCACTCTTGTGCTGTGCCGTTTTAGGAGCTTGGCGATGCCAACTTAAGGTTTTTCAGGCTTAGTGGATCCCAGGGCTATGAACAGACTATCCAAGCCGAGAGGAGAAAAAGCTCAGAGCCCCCGCTTGAATCTGAAGGTTCGTCCTCCAGCGAGTGTGTTTGTAGTGTTTCTGAATGGAGGCGACCGTGGTGTGGTGGCGGTGAACCCCCGACCTCCTACCCCTGAGCACACCCTTCCCCCCCCACGCCCCACGGTCGTCCGGCGACGGCCCAGTTTCCGATAGGTCTGCATCCGCGGAGGAGAGCACAGTAAATCAGGAAGGGGGTCAGGAGTCGGTCAGTGAGAGAGCAAGTCCTTGAGAAAGAGTCTGGAAGTCTGTGTAGGACAAAATAGCAACTGGGTAGGGCCTCTGGAGAAGCACTTCACTCAGGAAACTGCTCAGGGCGTGTGAAACTTTCTTTTAGCCTTGACACCACCTCTTCGTGGTGCTCAGTTAAGATTATTTCTCAGTTAACATCAAAGCTGTATTATACCGGTCTTTATTATTCAAAGACCGCAACAAGGGTTACTTTGCAGAGTGATCCGTAACGTAGATAAATCATAGATGCATATATGTTCAAACCCTGACAGAAAGTTCCATGTATGTGCCTGTTAGTTTGTACTGGGTGTGCCTCATATGCCCAGCTACTAAATTATACACTCTAGCTTCTATTAAGGAATACTTGCTTCTCATATGCAGACGAAACACCAAAAAAAACCCGTTAAAAACTGAAACTGTTTGAAATGTATTGCTCTTTTAATTCAGCTCAGCCTAGCAACGGCTTAAGTAGGCAGAAAGAATGTCTTCTAACTTCGTACCTGAGGGTCCCATCTGTCTCTGTGTGTTTGCATGAGTAGGAACTGGAAGTGAGTTTATAATGGGGAAGAAGAGGCTGTTCTTGGCACGGGGGTTTGGGTGCTGGGTAGGACAGACCCAGCCATCTTGTCGAACCTGAGACCCTGGTTTCTTTTAAGCTCAGACGAGATGAGATCCCCTCATCTTTATGTCCTCTGAAATACGCCAGATTGGCAGAATCTGTGTAGAAGCTACCCAGCCTGTATATAATTTTCAACCTCTCCGGTGTGCAGCTCGTGCTTTCATTCAGCTGATGACCGGGTTCTGAAGGGTTTATTTGAACTGTCCTAGTCTGACGGCATGGTTGTTTTTAGCTCAGGTGCCAGCCAAGGTAATGATTACCTATTAACAAATGCAGTTGTTTGGCGGAGCCTGTTGCAACCACTTTTCCCGTGCTCTCAGGTGTTACTGTGCAGCCTGTGTGGGATAGCATGGAGCAGCCTGGACCCAAAAGTGGGGTGAAAGAAAAAGAACAGAACAGAAAATGTGTAAAATACAGCAGGAGGGACCCAGCTGCTAGCAAACAGTTTCACGTGACTCTAGGAGATTAAGGAAGAACTGGTCATTTCACCTAATGAATTTTTATAAATAGTCCAGGTGTGGACAGCACTGTGGCACAGTGGTTAGCACTGCTGTCTTGCAGGGCTGGGGCCCTGGGTTCAATTCCTGGGGTGCTGTCCGTGTGGAGTTTGTATGTTCTTCCCATGGGGTTTTCATGGGGTTTCCTCCCATAGTCCAAATACTGGAAAATGCATTGACTTGCCCCTAGTGTGAGTGTGAGTGTGTGCGTGTTTGTGTCTGTGTGTGCTCTGCTATATCCAGGGTTACTGCTAGTTAAAATGGATGGATGGGTTAATAGTCCAGGGGGTCTTTTTACACCCAGAGAGCTGCCAAAAAGGTATTGAAAGCTCGCAGTACAATGCAGTATTGTCTCACTTTGAATGGTGCAGGCAACAGAAGGGGGCTTGTGGCGCAGAATTCTTGTGAGCCTTAAAAGGACTGAGCACCTTTCAGCGTTCAGGTCTCATCACCCTACTGCAATCTGCAAGGCATCTAAGTCATCCAGCGCCCGCCGAAAATCTAAGCCTCCTTTCCCCGTGAGCCACCCCAGATTCCCTCAGTGAGCTTCCCGGCTCTTTAATGAGTTACAGTCCTGAGTCACCGGAGTATCACAGCTGCAGAAGTACTGGGGATTGAGATTGCGCACTTAAAACAAACATGGGCAGGTTACTGCACTTCCTGTTGACTTTTTTTTCCCCTGATTGGATAACAGAATGTGGTCATAGAAACCAAATAAGCAAGCACTATAAAAGCAGGCAGCAGTTTGCGTGACTGCTCTGTGTGTTTGCTCCGAGGTGGGAGTTAAGTGCTCGCCTACCGTACATGACAGGCAGCAGAGGGAAACAGGAATTGCTTCCGCTTTGGAATGGAAGGGGGTGCAAGGCTGAGTAAAATACAAAAAAAGGATGTTTTTTTTAAAAAAAAAAAACCCTGGAGCTAAAACAACATTTTCTAAGGACTGAAGAAACAGAACTTCAGTGAAACATTTATAACTTGCTTTTTGTTCTTTTAAGATACGATCACTATATTGGCCATATACAATTTCTTGTATAGATAGATAAGACTATTGATCCATAGGGAAATTGATGAATTAGTATTATGAATTTGTCTTTTCACATACTCCAGCTTGCTCTCCATGAGACACACAGACAGGGAGAGAAGCTTGGGGTCAGAGTGCAGGGTCAGGCATTTATACGGCGCCCCTGGAGCAGCTGGGGTTAAGGGCCTTGCTTAGGGGCCCAACGGAGTAGGATTCCTCTGCCGGCCGCGGGATACGAACCGGCAACCTTCCAGCCACAGGCGCAGATCCTTAGCCACCGCACAACGGTTTATTTTGGACACGTGTGGACTTTATCACGCGTTACGAAAAGCAACTACCCTGTGCTTCTTGATTTATCCCAGGTTAGGATTAGAAATGCTCTTTCCGACTTGCTTCATTGCTGCTTGGGTCTATATTCGCGCGACTTGGTGCATTGAGCAAATTGAGCAATTGGGATGTTTTGCCATTTTCGTGTTTCATCTTGACCTGTCCTTTGCAAAAGCATATTTCATGAAATGTACTGAGTTTCTGTTTTTTTTTGCATATTATGGGGGAAAATGCATGAATTTCGGTAGGATCCCCTTGTCGTTAAAGGAAAGCAGTGGCACAAGGAGCTGCAGTCAGGGCAAGTTCAGAAGAGGGAAGAAGTGCCTGTTTATGCGAGTTCTTTAGGCTATAAAAGCTCATTTTTGAGTCCACCTCTCGTTGGACCCTGGAATCCTTTGATTAAGGAGGAATACTTGAATGCTTTGTCTGGCCACTTCTTTGCAGCTCAGACGCAATCAGCGCTAACAGAAGATCCGCGAGTCGTCTGCTGTTGCCTGGTTACATATTGCAATGAGAGGCCACAGCAAGCGTGTCCTCAAGTGTGTTATCAATCTGTCCTGTCTCAGGGCACCTTGCTGTAAGGGGTAGGCACTGGGGAAAGGAAGCAAAGCATTATTTACCTGTCTGCAGAGCCCAATTCCAATTTCAAATGCCTGAGGTTAAAAAGCGGGTCTTTGAGTTTGTTTTTGAAAGGAAGGAAGAGGAGCCACCCCCTGCGTACTGTGCAGCCTTACGAGCTGATTTCAGAAGCTGCTTGCCAGGTTAAAGCATGAAAAACTGCAACTGGCCTCTGAGCTTTGCGTGTCCAGTTAGCGGGGCAGTTTTCCACACAGATCGGTTTCATCGTCACGCTGGTAAAGAATCAGCCAGCTGACGTGCCCTGATTAGCTAAGCCACTCGAAAAAATGCACCACTTTTCAGCAGTCAGAGTTGTAGCTGTCAAAGATAAAGGTGGTATTTTTTTTTTGTAGGACTTCCTTTAGTGGCACGAGTTACTGTGAAGCTATTGATCACCGTGCATGGTTAAGCTCCGTGGAATTTCTTTGAGGGGGATTTCCAAAGGCTGATTCTGCATCAGAATAGTAGGCTGCACTGGTTTCTAGTCATCAGGGTTGTTAAGAACAGATGCATGAGTGCTGGGCAGATGCATGAGAGGGGGATGTTTAAGGAGTTCTGAAGCTCTAGAGGTGCAGGAAAGTCCTGCCACAAGACAAGGCAAATGGTTCCCGACAGTGTACCATTGTATATGAATATTACTATTTTTAATTAAGAAAATATCTGCACAAACTCAAGATTGTGTGGCTGCCATATTAGTGCAGATGGACCGGAGAGGACCAAAACCCTTTTCCTGGTTTGTAGAAGAAAAGGCCCCCCATCTCCACCCATTTCCTATGAAAATCAGGCGGTAGACTTTATTGAAGTCTGTATTTTAGATCTGAGCACAGGAGAGGGAATTCATCCACTTTAAGACATCATCCGGCACATCTTTTCATAGTAAAATGTACCTGCAAGCAAAACATTTTTATGGGGGGCAAATCAGGGAGGTAGATAATGGAAGGTGGGTAATCCA